AAGTATTTTTCTCGCATCACGGAGATGTTTTCCAAAGAGCTTTTCAAAAATTTCAATTTCAATCGATGCAAAGCTCCCTCTTCGACTTTGCGGAGGCAAAAATAAAATATCGAGAGTACGAATTTGCCACGATCTCTCCGATCCGTGAGAGCACGCGCATGAGAGAGTTATTTTTTTTTTCTACTCCTTTACTGCTGTAGCACAGGGGATCGGACGCGTTATTCTCTCAACACGGACGACTCGTATTACGTATCCAAGTATTTTGGGCAGATGAAATATTTCTGTTTTTGAATATCCGAACTCGTTTGTTTTTTTTATTAATCATCGTTTTGTCTTTTTTTTTATTTTTTGGAAAAGAAAGACCACGCGTTGGATTTTAATCACAAAAAGTTTTCATTCATCGAAAAAGGATTCGCGAGACATTTTTCATTAAAATATGTTTTCAATAACCGCATGTGTTGGTGTGGCTGCAGCTCGTCGCCCCGGAAATTGATCGTTTGTGAAAAAAAAGACCCCTGACCAAACAAAAAAAAATTTGACCCACCAAAACAAGGGTGTCCCGAAAGAAACTTGATACACACGCGTGACGCACGGCAGCTCGTGTTACGCGTGTGTCCTTTTACCACGTATCATGTACAAGAGGATCAAACTTTTAGTTCGCCTTTCTCCCTTTCTACATATATATACCAATACCATCACCACCAACCACGTTAGACTTGGATCGACACTGCCTATATATACGTATACTCTTCCTCACCGCAGACCAAAGTGCCAAAGTCCCAAAACCCCGTTCAGGTGATGCATATACTATATACATGTATGGGTAGGTAGGTATCTGTACTCACCGCGAGACTTTTTCACCCGAGTTTAATTGCCCCGAACTCCGTTCGAAATAAATTAAAACCTTCCCCTTCTCCCACTTCCATCCACAGTTACAGTTTCCCAAACTTGTATTTTAGTTACGTATTAGCTGCTGAAAGCCGCTAGAGATAGAGAGAGCCAACCATACACCGATCCATGAAACAATGCCTCCAAGTGCACGCGTAATGCATACATGGGTATACATACAGGGCAACGCGAATGAATTGCCCGCGAAAGGCTGAGCTTCAATTTAAACACAAAGACCATGCGTCGTATGTGGTATTCAAGTGCTACAAGTGCGCAGGTATGAATGGTAGATGCTTACCTATATATATATATATANTGTGTGTGTGTGTGTGTGTGTGTGTGTGTGTGTGTGTGTGTGTGTGTGTGTGTGTATATATGTGTGTGTGTGTGTGTGTGTGTGTGTGTGTGTGTGTGTGTGTGTGTGTGTGTGTGTGTGTAAGGATCCAAGAGAAAAACACGCGAAAGAAAATTACGCAGCTGTGGGAGGGTGCGGTGATGTAGGAGTCGAGGTAATTACGCGAAGACGGTACAACGTTGAAAATTACGCTTCACCTCGAAACGATTTCCACAATGCACAACAACTGGGGTCCTTCTTGGCGCGAAGAGCACTTTCCAACAATTGCACCTCGCCTTTTCATCAAAGTTTGTTTCCTACGCCAACGTGCAACCCTTGCCGAGGCGCGTGTACGCGCGAATGTGTTGCTTGCTACAACTATACATATGTATACCATCAGAGTGTGAACAAACAATACGAGATCGCAACAATGGTACGGGTTGAGGAAGACGAATTTATTAAGTCGTTGTCGAGTGGGTAGTTGGGAGTATAGAGCTATTCGTTTGTTGCGCAGTGTCGAAGTTTTGGTTTGATGCTGAACCAAGTCAGAATCAGCGTTATTGTTTCCGTGGATTTACTCGAAGAGGAGCGATGGGGACGAGACGCACTATTGAGTGTCTAGTCAGACTTGGCAGTCAGGGGGTGATCAGTCGTGTAAACTATGTTTGAGTAAAAAAGTACGACTGATGAAGCAACGTAATAATTCCCGTTGTTTAACTCATAGGCTCATAGCATAATTGTACAAGTAACCCTTTGGAATTTCGTAGCCGAGGAGGAAGCGGAACGGACGGCTCTGATGTCCAATTTTTCTGTTTGCTATCTTATGATTTTTTTTTGTTTGTTGATTTTGACACGTATACAAGACCAATGGAAGCCCCAAAGGCTGCAGCTGGTGCTCGTGTGCCTGCCAGCTGCTATCTCGGATGACCCACAAATACAACGCTTCTATATGTACGGCCGAATTGAAACAGAGGGATATACCGCTGGTATACCGTGCGTGCACTCATCAAGGCTATATACTATGCAGTTTCTTTCTTACTGGCTATCTTATTTATATATTCATTATCGATTTATTACGAGTCGAGTGAGGAAAATAATTTTTCAGGATCACGATTTCTTGTAATAACATCAGTTTTCTGCACCTTATCATTTTTTTAACTAAAAATTGACTGTAGTTGTTGTTGATAAGCAATTTAAACTAATGCAGCTTCTACTGACATTTACACCTTGAACACCTTTACTGATGAATTTTACAAAATTATGTGTTTTTTTTGTTTGGTATGGTTATTACAACGATAGAGGAAGAGATAATGATTCAATGAAGGTGTATATAATGAGAGACCAACTTGACACCCGTCGCGAAAATCATTTCATCAAAATTTCATTCGAGATATAGCTATGAAATAATATTCCAACTAAGAGCGCAGTGCCACGACCAAATGACTTCCCGTAAGAGCCCAAACTCGACTCTGCAGGTCTTTATATACTTCCCGTCGTTCTTTCGCATTGGCCCGCAACGCCGAGCGTTTTCCCCTGTACACGTAAAATCTGCTTTTCCTCCTCCTCGTCCCATCGCCGTACACCAGAGAGCAGAGACCGACATCAAACGGAATGCACAAGCCTATACATATCGGACCAGGTAACCGCGAGACCAAGCGGCTCCCGATGGCTGCGGGATTTTGCATTCAGCGCGCCAACTTGCAAACGAATCAAACGCCCAGACATTTGATCAAATCTTTGCCCTCCCTCCCTCCCTCGCCCATCGCTCGCTACTCTCCCTTCATCACGTATTCAACCCAGTCTTGTTTGTTTCCGTCTCCCGGCGTTTCTTTATTTCCTTATTCTCAGCTCCTCCGTGTGTTCCCCGACGAGGGTAAAGACAACTAATTAGAACGGGTACGCTCCGAGGCAACATCCGCCACAATGTACGCATATATACCTCTCGACGCGGAATTGGGAATTTTACGCCTCGATGTGTCGTCTTCCACCATGTCGGAGATATGCACGATTTAGCTTTCCACTCGAAAAGAGGACCTCATCTCGAATAACACAGTGGATCCGTCACAATTTCGCATATATATATATATATTTTTTTTTTCCTTTTCGTGGTAGTCCTTTACGGGGGCAAAAGGGACTTTTATTTTGTTCTCCTCTAAGCCAGAGGGAAGAATTACCGCCGGCTTTCTTTTTTGCCACCCGTATGAGCCCTGCGAGCTTCAATCTGGAAATTTATATTTTGAACAAAAGCTCGCCATATATATTTGTGCGGGGAAAAAAAAAAATAGAAAAGAATCTGCTGCTCGTCCACTTGACAGTACGAGTAGAGTTAACGAGCTTTTTACTGTGAATCCTCTTTGCCCCGATTTAATAAAAGAACACTGTGCCTTGTTCCGCAAATAATCACTTTTTCCCTACTGAATTGCAAAACCCGAGCGCCCCGCTCTCTTTCTGTCATGAAAATGCATCGGGTCTTGGATACACTTTTCCCAGTGTCTGTCGTAGCTTGGGATTTTCGAATAACAACAATTGCCTTGGGATGCGGAAAATGCTGATCAAACCACCTTCCGACATCCGTTTTGTTCACAGATGGGGTAATGATGAAAAAAAGAAAAGTTCAGTCGTTCTTGTTTTCGAAATGAATTGACACTGCGATGTTGCCTGCAAATATCGGTCGGAAGAAGTCCTCGATTCTGTCAAACGAAAACGTCAAACTGCGAAAACAAACGGAAAAATTGTCGCCACGCAGCTTCGTCAATACCGAAACAATACCACCAGAGGGAGGAGGAAGAGACAGGCGTTCTTTATCCATATCCCGCAGTTTTACACGGACATATCAGTGACACACCGGTATCGCGTTCATCATTGTTCCGGCGCCGGGATGCCCCGTCCTCCTTCTCCCCTTGTACCCGATAACCATTTATCGACGATGCCTCCATGTACCTACCGCGTGTCCCATCGCGATTCATTTTCAGCTAGAACAGCAACGGCTCTCCACGTGACGGGAAAGCGTCACACCTAACAAGCACCCCTACCTCCTCCGATCCCCGTTGTACGTATAACGACTTTAAACCTCGTCGCGAGGAATTTGAGGGGGCAAGCTGAGTGACTGATGGCTCAAGCGCGGCGGATGTACTTGGGGCGGATGTTGGACGGGGGTTGTCGCAACGGTATATTCATAACAAGGGGTGGATTGTACGTATAATATGTGGTTGTTTTTTTTTAATTCTAGAGAGTGTCATTCATACATTTTATAATTGGAAAATGAATATTTCTTAATAACATTACTTATTGATGAAAGATACGAGATGATTTATTTGCAGTTTTTTTTTGTTGCATTGCACGTGGATTTAAGGTCATATACAAGCTTATTTGATATTTGAAAATTTTTTTTTATTCTGATTAAAACTTTTTTTTTTCCATCAAAGTTTACAAAATGTTTTCAATTGATAAAAATCAAGTTATTCGATTTGTAGCGTTGATTCGTTGTTTTACGATATAAAAAAAAAAGTTGTTGTTTATTAAAATCATGGAAAATTGTATAATTTTCTCAGACTGCATTTGTTCGCAGATAAAAATTCACGTGTCACGAATAAAATAATCATATAATGGTAGATTTCTCTCTTCCTTTGATAAACGCATAAAGCACCCCTACAAGGAAACACCGTTCCTCAAAACATTGAAAATAAAAATTTGACTTGATAGAAAAGCTAAGAAAAAAATTCATCCCATGCACATGTATAAATTCGTTTCAACAAAAAAATAAAATGCACAAACTTACCAGACAGCCGAGGGGGAGGGTTGAATCTTCTCTCCGAAATGAAAGGGCCTCTCAGTTGCTACAGACTGACCGAAAAAACCTCCGTCTCCCCGAAACGACTTCCTAGTAAGCAAGCAACAGAAAACAAGCCACGGGAGCAGATAACGTGAGTTTCGTCTGCACTTCACCAACGCGCTCCGTCAGGCTCATCAGTCATCTCGCGTCTGACCCAAGCTCACACGCAAATTCAAACGCAACGCGCGCAACTGCTCGAGTCATCCACGGCGCAGATATCTATATATATATCGAGACGTAAAATAAAACTCACGCGTATCCTCGGAAGGGGGTCGGCGGAGCGAGAACCACCCCCACCAGCGTGGGACGAGAACACAGCACGCGGCAGCTAACGCGTCAAGGTCTCGGATGTTCCATCTATCGCGTTGTCCACCAAGTACCCGGGGTGAGTTTTACCTCCGAGCTTATGCTCGCCTGCACTACCCTGGACTATATGCTGCTTAACTCGATGAAAAACAACAACACGACGACGACGAAGAAGAACCCCTATGCGAGCCGTATGGAGGAACCGTGCGCGAAACCAGTCGGAGATGAACTGAGCACTACACGCAGCCCAGCGAGCAGACGAAGCATTTGAGGGGAGGGGGTGGCAGCGCCGCGCACCCAACCTAACCCCAAGCCGCGTTTCAGCCCTTTCGTTTGCTCGCAGCTGCGGCGACAGACATTGCGAAATCCTCTCGCACACTGCCCGCGCAAGCCTCTCCTTTCCATGTACCCTGCGTGTATTGGGTACGCGTATATATATATATTATATGTGGGGGGGAGGGTAGTGTGCGTGGGCGGAGCGAGCCACGCGTAAATTATTCCGGCGAAATTTTTAAGCAAACAGAAAAAGCGAAAGACAGAGGGAAGTACGTATATATACGTACTGGAAAATATAGCGGGAAATTTCATTATCTGCACTGCGTTTATACCTAACATATATGTATAAATACATACACGACCGAACGGATCGTGCTGTCCTTTCTTTTTTTTTTTTTTTTTTTTTTTTTTTTTTTTTTTTTTATTATTCGTGCAGGACGCGCGTGTTTGAGCAAGGGTTTATGAGTGAACTTACGGCTCGTCGGATGTATCCGGCGGAGAGTTGAGATGTACCTATACGCGTAATTTCCGTAATTACGAGAGAAAGGGTAGTTCTGGCAAAGGTAGATTTCTGCTCGCACGAGTTTGTTATACCTCGTGGGGAGCTCGTTCGTATAGTCAATTAACTAACTCAACGTATTACCTGACTGCAAGTGGTTGATGGCTGCGTTTGGACCCACGTCTTATGGGGACACAAGAAATTTCACGTTTCTCTGACACGCGTGTAGGTTCGATGAAAAATCAATTTATTTTTATATCATGAAAAAATGATGAAACATAGTTGTTGGTACATGCTTTTGGAACTTGTTTTATTTCGTTTGTGATATTATGGGGTGAATGAGAGACGCTTTACTTTATTGAAGTGTTTTACGATAATCTGTCCATATACAAAAGTTGAGTTTTTGATTTGATTAAAGCTCACCTTTCCAGTTCAGAAAACTTTTCCAAAATTATGTAATCTACGTTTTTTTTTTTTTTTTTTTTTTTTTTTTTCATGAAATCGCTCATGAAACTCATCTGATTCGATGTAAGTTGCAGTAAACATTTTTTTGATAATCATTACAAAAACCAGAAACAAAAAGTTAAAACGTTCATTAATTTTCTTGTCATAAGACTCCATGCGCTCCTACAAATATATTGAAGAGGCGTTCTTGATCCTTTTCGACAACCATTAACCTACAAACCCACTGAACAAGACAACAAACCCTTTCGACTACACCCCTCTGTCAGAGTCACTCCCGTTAATAGCACGTAAAACGAGCTCGACCTGACAATTGGTATCACATCCAACAAACTCGACGTGCTCCGTACATATCTATACTGCTCCCGTACTGTCCCACCGAAGATGTCTCGATCAACCAAGCATACGCTCGTCCTCCATACCTACATATACTCGGCACCCGCATTTCAAACGCCGCTCGTGTACACGTACCTATGTACAACGCGCGAGGGCACAGATTTCTCTCGATCACAGTCATTACCGGCTATGGTCTGTCAGTTTGGTCCTGACGTCAAGTGAGTATACAGGGAGGGTGAGCTTAACAAGTCCTAGGGCTGAATGTGTGGCCCCATCGGCGATCGGATCGAGTGGACGTGGCCTATATGATACGTGACGGGTCCGAGGAGGCTTTTACATCTCCCGAAAGCGAGCCAAACCGGATGGGAAACGTCAGCGGCAAATTTTATTCCCTCTCTCATTTTTCACAACCTCCTCGAGCTTTTCACGGAACATGCAGGTGTGCGTCATCTTTTTTTTTTTTCAAGCGAGAAAAAAGCGTAAGTTCTTTCTCTTGTCAGTTGGCGTGCTTGGATAGGCTTACGGAAAAACACGGGAGGGGAGTGAAATAGACGTGCAAGCGAGGTAACGTATACGCGTGTTTCTGTGATTGAGCGCGAAACAAAATGCGGCCTCGTGTATGCGGTGCATAATGCGTGCTGGGAAATGGAATTTCGCGAAAAATATGTTTCTACACTTTTCAGACAGTTTCTGGGTTTGAGCGGGAGTATACACGGGCATGCGTTTGCTTTTCACGCTTTTCGGTATAGAAAAGTGTGTGGTTCGCGGCAAGGAAACGAAAAGTTTGCTTTTTCTGGTGTTGGAGAGAAATTGCTCGTCAAATTTTTATAACTATTTTCTTGAGGCTGCGATTTGGGTTTGATATAAATTTGGAGAATAATTAGTAAAGTTATCTTTTAGAGTACAATTTTTCGAAATATGAAGGGCAAATAGTTAAATGGCACATTACTTTGAATTATAGAAAAATAAAAGGTTCACATGCTTCTCTATTAATTTCCAAGTTGAAGAGTCGGATTAGTGTCATCTTAAAATTTTTCTTGAGGTTTCTCTCATATGTCGGAATCAGCCTTGGTAGGTATTTTATACCCTTTACACAGACTTACATCTTTCCCGTAAGCAGCATATATACCAGTCTGTAATATTTCACGCGTTATTCTTTTCACAGTACTCTCAGCTCAGGTATCCATTATTTTTCGAAATTAATTATTTTTAGCTTTTACTCTTCAATTTTTTTTCTTTGTCTCCAAAAGACATGATTTTACCAAAAATATCGAAATTCAGGAATTTTCAGCATTTAAATGATCTCAATTTCATCTACTATTTATAATTTTATTTGAAAAATTTACCATACAATATACATTATTTTAACTTATACCATTGTGTATTATTATCCAGCTTTTAAATAACTGATAATATATATTTCACTTTTATGTGAAAATAAATCATGTTCTTTAACTGTCTGATTACATTTTATAACAAATCAAAACAGAATGAAATTTGCTACGATGTAAAAAATAAAAAGACAGTCTGCACAATCTATTTGTATGGAATTCCATACGACGAATTTTCGCTGGTAACATTTACATAGTTGTTTTAAATAGCGTATTACAATATACTTATTCAAGTTTTTTTAGAATTTTTTAATTTGACAAAAAAAAAATTTTTGTGGTACAATTTTTCCACACACTGGAAAACCTACGCCGTATACCAGAAAATGTTTTCCGTACACTTTTGTATGAACAACGTGGAAAATTTGGGTTCCACTCTAAAAATAATGTGAAAAACATCCATTATCCGCAGACTATTACGAAAAAATCGTTCAACAAATAGCTTACGTGTCAAACGAGAGTTTTCGAATTTCAAAAATTTTTGCAGTTAAATAACAGAATCATTATAACATTTACTTATTGATGAAAGATACGAGATGATTTATTTGCAGTTTTTTTTTGTTGCATTGCACGTGGATTTAAGGTCATATACAAGCTTATTTGATATTTGAAAATTTTTTTTTATTCTGATTAAAACTTTTTTTTTTCCATCAAAGTTTACAAAATGTTTTCAATTGATAAAAATCAAGTTATTCGATTTGTAGCGTTGATTCGTTGTTTTACGATATAAAAAAAAAAGTTGTTGTTTATTAAAATCATGGAAAATTGTATAATTTTCTCAGACTGCATTTGTTCGCAGATAAAAATTCACGTGTCACGAATAAAATAATCATATAATGGTAGATTTCTCTCTTCCNATCATTTTGTTCCAAGTACGATTTATGACTAATAACTAACTGACGTAATGTCAAAACTTCGAAAAGTTGTATCCATATATATATTTAGTTTTTTTACCTATTTTAATAATTATTTTTATTTGTGTATTTACTTGAGTCATTTGTATGTTATAAACAAAGAATTTTAAGGAAAAGTAGTTAGTTTGAGGATGATTTAATCATTGAGTTTGAATTAAATTTTTTTGCAGTGTTACAATAAAATATTCAATACTTAAAGATTTTTGTCAATATCTATTATAATTTTATTTTAAATTAAATTACGAGACAAACAGTCCACTGAAGTGACTTTATGATTGTTTAATAAATAGCATACCGGAATCGTAATCTATTAAATGCCCTGAAGCCATGCAGAAAATAATAGTGACTGATGGTATGGTATATAACATTGAAAGTTGAAAAGACAGATACCTGCCTTGCTCGCAGCGAGTTTTATCTACAACAAACCTAGTAAATTCCTAACGCATCTCATTGGATAAATTATTTATAATATATGGTAAAACTTGATTTAGTTGATTAAAATATATTTATTTAATTCACATGTTAACTCAACATTCATGGTACAATGGGTCTTGGAAGAGAAGCACACAATTTAAATCTATTATTAGCATTTATTATATATTTCTAAAATTATTTTGTTTTATTTTTATTTTATTTATTTGAAGAACTTGCAAGTAAAAAATAATTTCTAACAAATAGTTTAAAAAATTGCAATTAATTTATACTATCACTAATTCTCAGTAATTAAAAAACATGTATTTTGCTTAAACATAATATTCCGTAAACATATAAATTTAGGTTGCTTTAATTATGCTTATTAATTTAGGTTGTTTCGGATACATTAGAATACAAAAACCATATGTTACTTTAAATTATATCTTATGGGAACTTCAAAGAAAAATCACGTACTACTTTACTTTCGTTGAGAGAACCAAAATTTCATTCCCAAAATTGCAAATGTAGGT